CCCATGAATGGAAAAATATAATTTAGGATAGCTTAAATCAGTGTAGAAACTAAGAGGACAAAGTAAATAAATCTCAGGACAGGTCACTGCAAAGAATGCCACTTGTTAAGAGGTTGGAGGAGAAAAGAAGAATTGAACCATATTCTTACCTGGATGGGGACACATAAGGATTTTTTAAAAAAAGGTGTGTGGGAAGGATTTTTAAAAAAAAGATGTGTGGGAAGAAGTAGGAGGAAACTTGCGAAGAAAAATGACCTCATGGTTTTACTGGACTGCATGCTTATATATGAATCAACAATGTGAGACATCAGGCAAAAAAACTGCCATTTTAGGTTGCTTTAAGAGAAGTATTGTGTTTAGAGTGAGGCGAATTATAGAAGTGGTGCCCTTGACAGAGACAGGGAAATATGGAAGAGTGGGTTTGTATAGAGAGAGAGATAATAATTTCTATTTTAGACACTTTCAGTTTGAGATGCATAGGAAAGGGACGTGTAGTTAGAAATGTCCAATAGTGGTGGTTGGTAAAGTAGGATTAGAGCTCCGGAGAGGGACAAGGTTGTTAGATACATACATCTAAGAGTCGTCTGCATAGAAATTATCATTGAACCTATGGTAGCCAGTGAGATCACAAAGTAGGAGAATAGAGAGAGAAAAGATAAGGGGACCTAGGACAGAGTTTTGGGGGGTATAACAAAGCACCTTGAGAAGAAATAATCAGTTGGATGGGATGAGGACCAAGATAAGACAGGTTTATGAAAACATAGAAAGGAGAGAACATCCAGCAGAGGTAATCAGTAATGTCAAATGCTTCAAAGGTCAAGAAGTATGAAGAAATGAGAAAAAAAGTTTCAGTTGAATGATGAGGTTGGAAGTAAGACAGTAGACAGTTTAGGAGAGAGTAAGAGGAGAAGTAGTGAGGCACCAAGTTTAGAAGACTTTTTCAAAGAGTTTAGCTGAGAAGGGGAGAAGAGATATATGACCCTACTTAACAGAGATGGTACAATCAAATGAGAGTTTTTTAAGAATTGTTGCAGACTTTTGGTATATTTGTAGAGCAGCAGATAGGCAGAGATTGAAGTTGAGATACAAGTGGAGGTAGCAGATAAGATGATAGTGAAGGCAGTTGATAAGAGAAGATTGGAGGAGATGGGAAAAAGGGGAATCTTCAAAAAATTATAACTAGTAATATGTTTTAGATACTACAGAAATAAACTCTGCTTTGTAAATGTATACATAGAGGTAAATTATGTTACAGTGTCTACAACAAATTTGTTTGTTATGTCATCTAAACTAGCCACTCACTACTGTAGCAAAACAATCCTTATATTCTTCCCTGATTGTTCCTCTAGCCGCAGTTTCTCACACATCAGATATCCCAAACCCTTTTTTCCTCTTTTCAAGCTCCCACACCATTTCTCCCCTGTCTGCTCAGTAGAGGTTCCTATCTCATATTTTACTATAAAAAAAATAGAGGCCGTTCACTTTGTTCTCTCTTGTGTTTCTTTGGTAGGACTTGACACTGCAGATTAATTTTTCTATTCTACCCATTGTCTTTGCTGTGCAGGCCATAAGTTCTGTTCTTGTAATACCCATTTCTCTTTTAAGTCACTCAGGAACATGGAACCAACACATTGTGGTTCCATGTTCTTCTCAAGTTCACAAGGTCCTCTGTCTCATCAAATTATAGATCATTTGCCTTCGTTTTGGAATGTTTGTATATAGATTCCTGAATTAGTTTATTAGATCTGGAGGCCACATTTCCTTCTGCTGTTAATGTTTTCCCTGTTGATTTATTTGCTTATTTTTGAAATCTTTGAATTTTCTTTTTTCTGAAATCTTTAGTAATTTCTATCTTTTTTCCCCTTCATTTTCCCTTATTGCTCCCTTTTTGACTGCCTCCCACATGATGGTGGTTTCCCAGAGGGCCTGGAACGGAAAGCATCCCAGCCTCCTCTCCCACTGGGAAATTCCCAGTTCACCAGTCTTGGGTTTCCTCTTTTTGTGCCCCAAGTCACTGTAGAGGTGAAGGGAACAGAGGTGGCCCCAGCCAGATGCGAGGCTCTTTCCTCAAGCTTGGTGGAGTGCTGCATAGCCCCTCACACACACTGTACTGTCTTATTCTGTCTGTTCCTCAGTGATCTGGTTCTTCAGTTCATTACTTTGCTATATAGGTGCTGCTGAAGCCAGGGTGATTTCTGTCGTTTGGGTTTTGGTTCAAGCTCAGACATGTGGCCTGTCCCTTTCCTCAGTTTATCTGCTCTTCTACAGAGATCTTTTGTAGCGTAGAATGCTGCCGCTGTGGCTGTGGGCCTAGCAGGCTTCTGTAGCCTGAAGTCTAGATCTCCATGGTATTGGAGAAAGTAAGGGAGGACCATGGTGAGGGGCCCCTCCTTGTGTTGGGTCCTTGGCTCAGCTAGTGTAGTGTTGCCACCAGTAGCCTGGTATACAGTGGGGAAAGGAGTGCTGAGTGGGGTCAGGGTGGATGTGGGTTCATTTTGTTTTAAACTTTCTTTTGGATTCTGTGTGTCCTAGATAATGGAGGCAGCTGGAGTTGCCTTATCTTTTGTGCATAATTTATGTTTTGGAGAGGTTTAAAAGGTTGTGGGGAATCACAGAAAATGTCCAGCCCTCCATCTTGTCATGTAACCTGCTCCAGCTCAGCCATTCACTTTGATTTCCTCTTCTCTTCTGCTCTGCAATTCAAAGCCCTTTGACATCTCTCTTCTTTTACTACAGTCTCTGATAAAGAAGTAACCCTTCCCATCAAAGACAAACTCCTTTCATGTTTACTTCCTGCCCTTCCATTTCCTATCACTTTCCAGTTTTATAGGGAAGCTGGAGTTTCAGTCATCTCCTTTGATATAACTTTTCTGTCATTCTTATATCATTTGTGCAAGCATTCTGTTTCTTGCTTAAGGTATTTGTGTTGAGATTTTATGACCATATAGATTTCCAGATTATATAGTAAGCCCTTTTCTCTTTTTGCTCATAAATCTCAAGGGGTGGCTTCAGGTGTCCTTACTCAATCTTTTGGACCTTCTTTTCACCCTGTAGTTTATTACTCCATTCAGTTAGATTCTATGGCTACAGAGACTCCCTCTTGCCTAGGAGTGATAGCTGCCACTGCCCTTCTAGATGAAAAAGTATGTGATTTGGTTTTGGGAGCCCTACTCATAGTGCGGTGCCTTCATGGGGTTGAGCCTCTGTTACTGAGACATCACATTCAAGCTTCTTCTGACTTACTAACTATGAAGTGACTTTATTGGAAATTGTCTTATACTTTGTCAGATACTGTAGAAGAATGTGTTATAACTGATAATAACTCTTTGTTACAATTGATCTACTACTTGAATTAATAACCTAAATTTTAAAAAATATTTTTCCAAATTCTAGTCTAAGTATGCCCATATCTTTTTAAAAGACAATTTGAAATATTAATGCTGTATTTTTTTACCTGACCTGTTATTAGGCATAGTTTCTAGAATTTTCATTAAAAGTGAGGTGAAAATCGATTTCATGTTTTAATTTGTCTACTCTAGGTTTAGAAATGAGGTTGTTCTTTGTGCACTGCTTGGCAGTACATTGTTGTATCATGTGGAGTTGAGCATATTAGTTAACAAAAAGCAGTGTAAAGCCCTTCTTTATAACTGATGAGGTCAGTTTCCAGTTTTATTGTGATATAGTACTGACACATAATGAAAGTATTGACCCCCTTGGTCCATTTAATGTGTGTTTTTGGTTTGCCTATTTTAGTGGTCAGCACTGTCTGCACCAAAACATTTCCAGCATGTGGAATATTGATATTTCTGATTTATTCTGTTTTTTTTTCTCTTGGTGCCATAACATGAAGCAGCACTACTCACTACACTATTATTTTTGGCAAACAGATAATCTCAATGATTTTGAGTAGGATTAGCCTGCATTCCTCTGCCACCCCGTCCATTTCTTTGACTTTTAAAAATAGTTCAATTGTACTGGCCTAGGGTATTAGCCTACTCAGTGGTATTTTCTGAACCCAGTTTTCTAATGTTTCATAGTTCTTGCCAGGCCTTCACAGCTACTATAACAGTCTCACTGCACATGAATTCCCTGTTTACATTCCTCTATTTTTCTGTCGCTCCCTCACTTCCTTCATGAGATGAATGATGTGTTGGACCTTGAGGAGCTGATGATGATGATGATCCACCATGGATTCTCTCTGTCTTCTGAGAGTGGGTTCTTTCTGTCTTCTGCTGTAGAAACATGAGGACCCCTTTATGACTTCAAAAAACTTGATAGATGTTACCTGTGAAAATAGAAAAGAAAGGACTTGTAACTGGTAGGATAGTCATAGCAATGACAGAAGTAAGAGTAGTACAGAGCACTCTGCTTGTCCTTCATCCTTATAGCTCATGTATTTACTTGCTGATTTTGAAAGAGTACTTCATTTAGAGTCAGAAGATCTAGCCTTTTTTATTATTACCAGTGGGATCTTGGGCAAGTTGACTTCGGTTTCCTCATCTGTGAAATGCGTGGATTAGACTAGATGGCCTCTGATGTCCCTTCCAACTCTGTGTTATCCTCTGACCAAAAAAAGGATCCCTCTTGACCATTAAGAGGCAGAAACATTATATGGCAACAAATTGGTTTGAATCTGACCATTCCAGAAAAATTGAAAGGGGAAGAGAAGAGAATATTTTCTCTTTTTATCCAGAAGGGCATGTTGGATATGCCATATTGAGGAGACAATAAAAGTTGAAATCAATGTATCTTTCTTAATATATCTTATAAATATAGTTTGATAGCACAGTTATTTGAATGCCATGTCATATAATTGCATAAAACTTTTCCAAATAAATAGCATCTGTAGAATGTTAATGCATGACTGCTGTGTTCATAAGTGTTTGCTCTTAGAATTATTGGACATTTTTCTTAATAAGTCATCTTGGCATTATGTCAACAACATAATTTGCTTTTCTAAGAAAGTAGATGAATACTTCCTGTATTTGAATTATTCACAGATCAACAACACAGTGAGAAGGGGAGAAGAAACAGAAGGCACTCTTGGATCGTTTCTCCATTTCTTCGGGAAGGCTCTAGCCTTAGACACAATCCATGGACATATTAATATTGGCCCACGCTTGAAACAATGTGTTCGAGACACTTCATGTGAATACCGAGCCACTTTTCAAAGGACTTCAATTTCTCAGTACATCACAGGTTCTTTATTAGAGGCAACTACATCTTTGGGTGCAAGAAGTGGCCTTTTAAATACTTTTGGAGGATCAGTAGGAAGAATAATGTTGAAAGGTAATGTCTGAAATTTTGTTTTCAACTTAAACATTTTTAGTATTAAAATGTTATAAGCTCCTATTGATCGATGCTAGATAGTGTTGTTGATATTTAGAAGTTTGTCAAGGTAGTTAATTTGGAGACTATAATCAAAAGAGTTTAATATTCTTTAAAGTATAATTTCCTAGTGAACAAGGTATCTTAGAATTGTGGTGAAAATTGAAGAAGCTATCCTTAGTAAACAAATAAAAACTGATTACGTGCAAAACATCAAGCTATGAGGAAAGTTCCATGTAGAGCGTTTCTTTATAAAGTATTACTGTAGTCATAATGCAATTAGGCTGGTGGCCACTTGCTGATTTGAGTACTGCTATCATTCCCTTTATGAAGTAGAAACATTATGGAGCCTGGAACATGGGTCCCCAGTTTGAGCTCCCAGCTCTGCAGCCCAGGGCCGTGCTGCTCTACTCCTTGAGCCTCAGCTTCCTCATCTACAAAATGAGGACATTAGATTAGATGCCCTCAGGTAATTTCTAGCTCTGGTCTAAGTACCCTGTGATTGTGATCCTATGTAAAATATATTCCAGTAAGTTTAAATATAACATTAATGTTACATCTATAAATCGATATTTTCCATTTTAAGATGCAGTTTTCTCACATAAAAATGAGAATCAGTGGAAAAACAAGGTTCCCTGCCTGCCTAATTGCCATGAATCAGACTAGATTAGATGCAGGAGAACATCAAAGAATTAATGCCCAGTATGTTGCAATGCTGCTGTCACAATCCATTTGGTTGATTTCCACGGCTGAAAGTTTTGAAGTGGACTTTTGTAACACCTAGACATTTCCCTTGGCAATGTAATGGAAAAGCCTTTATTAAGTTTTTATAAGTTGTCAAGCTCTGTGTTAAGCATTGTTGATAGGAAAAGAAGACCTTCAGTCCCTGATCTCAAGGAGCTCACATTGTAGCTAAGGGTGATAACACATGTAGGAGGGAAAGACCAAGTAGTCCTTAGAGTACACTGTCATATCAAATGGCAGTGCTTAGGGGTCCAGAGGGCAAAATGGTCAGCCAGATGGTAAGTGCAGAGGATCTTGGGGGGCAAATTGCCCCAAACTCTGACTGTTGAGAAGAGAGTAATATGCCCTCTGTGGATCTAAGCTCTGGATTATCTTAGGCATGGATTGGAGGGTGGTGTCTGGTGTCTGGTGAGAACTAGGGATCTGGGAGGGGAAATAGAAGGCGCAAGAACTTTTCTGTCCCTGGAGAGGCAGGCAGCAAGGCTCCTGGAATTCTAACACAAGCAGAGCCTACCTATAATGTATTAGGTCTCCTTCCTAATCCTGTTTGCTTGGAGAATGGAGTCTTTTTATTTTCTGTGTTGTATGTAAACATGTAAGAGCTGATGATGACCCAAGGGGAAGCAAGAAGTCATCAGCAGTATCTTGTTAGGCCAGCTCTCTAAAGTATGGGGAATATAGGCAGGTAAAATGCAAAGACAATTTACAAATTCTCAAAGATATAATTTTGTACTTTGGACAGATCTGGGCTTTGTAAATTACCATATTGTAAAAGTCTACAAGCAGTGGTACAGAGGTGGTTAATGTATACCTTTACATGATTGCATACAAGCAAAGAAGATAAATATAATGAACACCAGTTTTAATCACTCTGAATGTTACATAGCTTTATTTCTGTTCTTGTAAAAAAAGATAGAGAGATGAAAGTTAGACAGTAGTATAGTTAGGTGGACCAAGAACTGATTAAATGACTAGACCCAAGATTAGTCACTGATGGTTCTAACTTGAAGGGAGGTCTCCTATAGAGTGTCCATGTATCTGGCTTTGGCCCTGTGCTATTGGACATTTTTATTAGTGATTTAAAACAACCGTAGATGCCATGCTTATCAAATTTGCCCATGACACAAAGATGGGAGGAATGCCTAACATCATCAGGCGTAATAGCATTAAGATTCACAAAGATATTGGTAGGGGCAGCTAGGTGGCGCAGTGGATAGAGCACCGGCCCTGAAGTCAGGAATACCTAAGTTCAAATCAGCCTCAGACCGAACACTTGACACCTACTAGCTGTGTGACCCTGGGCAAGTCACTTAACCCCAGTTGCCTTTAAAACAACAACAACAACAACAACAACAAAACAAACAAACTAACAAAAAGATATTGGCAGACCAGAACATTGGTCCAGTTTGATATAATGAATAAAGATAAATATAAAATCTTAGAATAATGTTCAAAAAATTACCTTCACAAGTACAAGAGAGTCATGGTTAGACATTGATTCATATAAAAAGAGCTGGAGGCTTTATAAACTACAAGTTTAATATGAGTCAGCACGGCAGCCAAGAAACCTAACTCACACTCGGGTTGTTCTGAGAGAGGCGGAGTGTCCTCTATGGGAGTTGGGATTTGACAGTCTTGGTACGTTCTGCCGTGGGGAGACCGCATCCAGTGTGTATTTTTGGGAAGGACATTAATAGCTAACGACCATTCAGAGGAGAAGAGTAACTAAGACTGTAAACAGACTCAAGTTCATGCCAGATGAAAATCAGTTGAAGGAATGGGAATATTTAGACAAGAGGCTAAAAGACTTAGCAGGGACACTGTGGTTGTCTTACAGCATGTGAAGCAATTTCACTTAGAGAGAAGATAAACTTGTGTTTTGTTCCTGAAGTATTATAGCAACACCTCCTACCCCAAACCCCTCTTGTCTTTGATGATAACATTAGACATAAGCATAGGTAAAAGCTAGTAGCCTCTCATTAGGTTGCTCTTGGCATGCTATTGCCTAACCCTGTTATATAGCTGCACCACTTTTCAGCCCCTCATCATTAACATCGGCTAGCTTCTGAAATTCCTCAGGTAGAAAATTGCAGCCGAAAAGACAACAAAAGTTAAGTGTTTGGCTTTTTGGGTCTAGGTTCCTTTCCTTCAGCTATGTGGTTCAGCAGTCCTAACAAAGAGCCAGAAGTCAGTGTTCAGCTGGTAGATCATTGTGTTAGAGTGAACCCAGCTCCAGGGAATTCTACTCCTGCTAATCTTTTATACATAAAATTTTAGACTTATAAATTGATAAAGTAGGGAGCCTTAGACTTCTTCAATAATAAGTAAGCAGACTACAAACAATGGAAATAATATTCCCTTTACTATTAATTTAATACATTTTAATTAAGTTATTCTGTGTGTAGATGAACCTTCCTCCCCACCTTAACCTCCAGTCCTTTCACCTCTTAATACTCTTTCATGGCATAACCCCTCCTCTGGCTTACTTTTTTTCTTCCTTCCCAGTCTTGGCCATATAGATAACGAGTTCAGTGTTACATTTTCCTCTTCTTTCAGATACCATATCCTATTTCTGCTTATGGCTTGCCAAACCCTAGCCCTGTATTACTCCCACTCTCTGGCTCCTTTGTTCCTACTCATATGCTATTGAATTGTGCTGGTGAAAATCACGCAATAGTACTGACTGGGTCCACTGAAATTTTTGTTATCTAATCTCAAATGGACCATCACTTCAACCAAGCAGTCCTAATTTTTTCTCTCCCCTAGTGGTCTCCAAATTTTTTTAAGATTACACATCCAAATAGTAAAAAATGTGCCTCTTCAACATATTTGATACATTATATTTGCATAAATGATATATTTGTATTTATTTGTATATTTATATTGTATTTATTGCAATACAATATATTTGTGTTTATTTATAAATCATATGCATATGCTCCTATACTATTGTATATGTTACAAAGGATATATGACAAATGGAAATTTTCAAAGGACAACATAAAGATGAAATAAATAATATTTTTAAATTCTCATTAATGTATTAAAAATAATGAACAAAAGTGAATTTTCTTTTATTTCAACTCAGCAGAAAGATGCCAATATAAATTCATTCATCTTTCTGTGATTCTGCTTACTAGATGGTATCATACCTAAATTTCCTACTAATGTTTAGATAGTTGTGTTGGCTAGATCACAGAGTGAAGGAAAGGGGTAATATATAATAAATTCAGAAAGGTAGGTCAGAGCCAGGTTGCAAAGAGTTTTAAATGCCATTCTAGAAAGCAATATGAAACTATTTGCCCAAAAGATTATAAAACTGTGCATACCCTCTGACCCAGCAATACCACTACTAGAGCTGTACCCCAAGGAGATCAAAGAAGAAGGAAGAGGACCCACATGTCCAAAAATATTTACTGCAGTGCTTTTTGTATTGATGAGGAAATGGAAACTGAAGGGATGCCGGTCAATTGAGGAATGGCTGTCCACATTGTATGTGAATGTAAAGGAATACTGTTATGCTATAAGAAATGATAAAGGGGCTGGTTTCATAAAAACCTGGGGAAAAAAACTGATGCAAGTGATGTGTGCAGAACCAGGAGAATAATCTACACAGTGACAACAATATTGTAAAGATAGCAATTTTAAAAGACATAGTAACTGTTCAATTCAATGAACCACCACAGTTCTAAGGAACTCATGATGAAACATGCTATCCACCTCCAGATACAGAGCTAATCAACTCAGAGTGAAGATTGAAGCATTTTTTGCTTTTTCTTGTTTATTTTTTTTTCTTTTTTTGTGGTGGAGGGAGGGGGATGTGGCTAATGCAGAAATTGTTTTACATGACTTTACATATTTGTAATAGGTTTTGTTTTTCTTGCCTTCTCCTTAGAATAGGGAGCGAGTGGAAGAGAGAATTTGAAACTAGAAAGAAAAAAGAATAAAAAAGCCTCTGTGCTTTAATTTTTTTAAATTAAAAAAGAGCTTTCAGTGCTGAACCAGAGTTTTTAATACTTGTTCCTAGAATCAGTAGAGAGCTGTGTGAATAAAGAGAATGGGGGATATAGCTAATGGATGTTGTGGAAAAAGAAATGACAAGGTTGGGCAATTGGTTGGATATGTGGAGTGAGTGAAAATGAGGTGAGAATGATAATGCCCTGACAGTAACATGAAAGTTCAGAAAAGGGGTAGGTTTGAGGGGAAAAGATGATATA